ACATATTTGTATTCAGCGATGTCTCACGTGTAAAACAGTTCCCCCTATGTACAGGTTTTATGGTGTTTTGGAAAGTTATAGGGTCAAATATAGAATGTTACATATTTCAGTTTTTTCACATTGAAATTTGTGTGAAAAATGCAAAAAACTAATTTGAACAATCTGGCAAATTTCAATGTGAAAAAAAAAAGGATACACAAGCCTTATATTTGACTCTGTAACTTTTGAAAACACAAAAAACCTGTATATGGTGGGTACTGTTGTTATACTCGGGAGACTTCGCAGAAAACAAATATTAGTGTTTCAAAGCAATAAAATGTATCACACCAATTATATCATCAGTGAAAGTGCCGTTTGTATGTGAAAAATGCAAAAAACTGCACTTTCACTGACGATGTCATCGTTCTGATACATTTTACTGTTTTGAAACACTAATATTTACCATTTTACTGTTTTTGAAACACTAATATTTGTTTTATCTCGCGTAAAACAGTACCCCCATGTACAGGTTTTATGGTGTCCTGGAAAGTCACAAGGTTAAATATAGGGCTTGCAAATCAAATTCACTGGTCTTTGTGTCTGGGTTGTCAGGCAGGTCCCTCATATTGTAATAAATAAAAATGACTTAATTAGGTAAAAATATTTTATAAATATAATTGTGGAATTTAAATATATATATTATTTTTTTTATTATTATTTTTATTTATATATAGGTGAGTGCGCTGGATCTTGTGTTTATATATATATATATATATATATATATATATATATATATATTATATAAATTATATATATACTACCAAGCCTCAATAGCAAACCAGTAATCAACCTTATACTGATGATTTGCATTAACAATGAAACAGCTGTCCATGAGTGGTTCACTGGCTTTGCATCTTTTCCTAAGTTGTGTTTCAAAGCAGTTGTATACAGCAAACACAGACTCAAAGGAATCCATGTTTAAAATGGAATGAGGCAAATATGTGATTCTTTGTTAAACTAATTTGCATATGCCCACCCAGAATCCCTTGCAGTAGTAACATCACTGCAAATGTGAGATTTCTGTGTGAAAAGCAAGTCTTATGGCTTGACTGGTGTGCAGAATTTTTTTTAACATTGTATTAACTATATATATATATAAATGAAACCAAGAGGGCTGCACTCACCTGAACATGCATACATTATAGGGTGCAAGCATTAGGCTGCTAGAGTAGAACCTGCCAAGAATGGGGTACATTGAATAATGATGTATGTATGCGTATGTGTGTGTAAAATTACTTAGATCACATATACATATATATATAATCAAAGTACTTTTTATTTAATTTAAAAACTGATTTAGAACTTTTAAAAACTTTTTTGCAGGCATGAGGGGGACAGGATGAGAGCTCAGCCAGTCCCTCTGCAGGCACTGCATAAGCCGGCTATTTTGGCCATGTGATCGCGAGGACACCCTGATCACATGGCCCGGGAGTGCCGGATCGGACAGAGGAGGACTGCCTGAGCTTCCAGGCAGTCCCTAGAATTGGACCACTGGCGTGGGATCGGCGTGGACCTGGTAAGAGCCCTTGACGGCGGAGACATTCAATGCTGCCCTCCAGCGTTTAGAGCCACCCCAATAAGTACGGTATAGTCCTTAAGGGGCTAACTCCTAAATGGTAGCTATTTAAGTAGTACGACTTCATGGGGCATGATGTATAAAGAAAAACTGCTTTATTAAGCTAAACTTGTTTTGGTGACTATAGTGTCCCTTTAAGGCCAGGGTAGCTGATTTACAGATCTTTTTCAATTTAGACATCAATAGCCTAATTGAAATTCACACTGAATTCTCACATTAGTAAATAACAGGATTATTTACTGAAGTGAGAATTCTGATTATCAGTTTTTTTCACTGCAGTTCAATCTACATAAACACAGGATGTACTCAATAAAAATCTATGTTCCATTCAAGGTTTGTATACATTTTATAAGTAGATTCCCCATCAGCATCTGAACTGTGTGTAGTAATGTAATTAATTAGTAATTTACAGGATGTATGGAACAAGGCAGGTTTTTGTTTGTGTTTAAATGGCAGCAAATGTGTGAGCCATTCATAATTGCACATAACATTGAATTGTATATTTTATTTATTTATTAAGGCTTGTTATATTTGTACACTTTGGACCTTCCAGAGAGTAATCTACATGATCTCCACCCCCTTACTCTTGTAGCAGCTGAAGACCATGAGATAAGTAAATGGATATGTGTGTTTTGTGTACAGTATACAAACTTAGTTAACTGTATAAACTACAAATCAATATTCCGAGCCTAGAATGCATTCAAGATGTATTTTAAAGGGACACTACAGTCACCAGAACAATGACCGCTTATTGCAGTTGATCTGGTGTCTACTGCCTGTCCCTGCAGGCATTTAATGTAAGCACTGCCTTTTCAGAGAAAAGCTTGCTAACGTGCTTTATGACTGAAAGTCTCTTCCTAGTAAAAAGTGTAGGGCTTGCAAAGGCTGCAGTTAATAATAAATAAATTAATTTAAAAAAAAAAATTCAAAATAGGTTGTGGAGTATTCCTTTAAGAGAGAAAAGATGTACAAAAATACATATTACTCCATGTTGTGAATTGCGGAGCTACTGACAAGCTAAGGGTATCATTCATTCTGATATTGTTATGGTGTCTAAAGTGTTCCTTTTAAGCAAATAGCAGTTTGAGTTTCCCTGTGAATTTCGTAATTTAGTCTAAAATGTGAAAGGCACTTTCACAGTGATTCACAAAAACAGCTAATTTCGAGACAATGCAAAAACCAAACCAAATTAGTGTATGAGATGGAATTCAAAGCAAATCACAATGAGAGCCTCTTTTTAGGGTTGGTCCTATGTAGGAAAGGAAACGTCTATTCCCTCCCCCATCTAACATCTCCTGCTGCCACTTTAAACTCCCAGCAAAAAAGTAACTTTAAATGGAGACAGTGGCCATGTTTGGAAGAACAAATGTTAATTCACTTTGCACTATACAGGTTATTTTGTAAATACATTTCAAAACAAATTGCAACATATATACTTACAATGATACAGATTATACTCCTCCATAAAGATATGTCTTAAAATGAGGATTGAATATAAAATAAACAATAAACTAGGAACTATACACAGAGAGAAAAGAATGGATTAGTCCAAATTAACAAAGCTGAAAAATATTTTCACCTATGCTTTTTACAACTTTTGTATTTTGGTCTAAACTTTGCAAATACCTTTCTCCATTTACCCCAATTTATTGAATAAGCAATAAAAAATAAATAAAAAATAAAAATAAAAAATACAAATTTTAAGAGTGCGTTTATATGTAACAGAAAGCCTGACTATGAAAATATTCTATGACCATAGATAAATTGTGGGTTAATAGTTTTTTAGTATTTTTAATTTGTTTTTAATATATATATATTTTATAATGGATTTGTTTGGCATAGAACTAATGAAAGATTTGCTACTTAATATTTAGGTAAACTTGTGTTTAAATAAATAAAACTTATCTCTGGTCATAAAATCCAGCTGTTGACCTTCATGCCCGAGTTCCATTCCAGACCACATGGTGATTCTCTATCACTTATAGTTTCTACCTTACCTGGTTCTGTACCGGTGGCTTCCATTGTTGTTATGGTAGCAATTAATAGGAAGAAATCTTTAAGCTGGCACCGGGCAAGCACAGCTTGATTACCTGTGCACAGGTGAGGCGTATGATGGTCCTTGTCTATGTCTGAATATTTTAAAAGCATACACCCAACCCCTTTGGTGGGAGTAAGATTTGAAGGAATGGTCACCATTGGCTGAGGATTGACTGGTGGAGGGGATGTCTGAAGTCTGTCACATTTACATATCACTGGGGATTCATCAGGATCAGTCTTTCTGTCTCTGTGTAAACAGCAGGATAATTCCTCCTGTGAGAGCACAATATACACAACAATGGAATGTGCCACTTCCCAAACTTCATCCAAAATATGTTAACTGTACTCACTCATTTGCTGGATTTCAGAGGGTCCTGGCTCTTAATTCCATATTTCCACAGTAATATAATGGACAAAATGCCATCATCAAATATAAAGCAAATATATTTAAAACCAAGAGCTGGTTTATTTCTTCAAAATAGACATACAGTGCAGTGTTGCAACAGCATAACTCTAATTGGCCCAATATATATAGATGTGGACTCCTCCAAACCCGGTTGCTCCTGCCTACTAATGGCATTTATTTTTCATCACTAAAGCTAGAGATTTTAGGATTCACGTTTGATTTGAGCAGCAGCAGAGTACTTATGGATGTACCCTGTCATGGCTCAATGGTGGAATGGACAATGTGGCCTTCAGGTCCCATCAGAATGTGGGCAATAATGTAGCTGAGTTCTGAGGTGCACAGAGGGTAACATACGGGTCCAGGACCTCTCATACTTGTGTCTACTTGGCACCATATTCCAGTTATGTTGGGCTGCTGTTGGGGATTCAGTCTACAGTTATAGTAGCAACACAAGTTAAATGATTGCATGAATAGGAAGGTACAATGAACTCTCTACCCCCCCATACAGTTTGCCAAATGGCCAGAAAGGATTAGAGAGGGGCGGGGAACATTATGGAATTACATTAAGGTTGTGTATAATGGGCAGAGCTCTGCAGACACAATGAGGGACAGTCTACACAAAAAAACTAAGTGCAGAGTCTTTGATTGTGGAAACAAAAGAGTAACCTGTATTTTATGCCCCTGGGGTTGTATAGACAGTGAGCTGAGAGCCATTAGGAAGGGGAGAATGGAATGGAATCACTAAACAGATTATAAATTGCATCCTGGGATCAGGATTCCAGCTGTTCACAATAATATGTAAAAGTTGACCTACAGGTTATCTAGAGCAGCATTCTTAACAGGGTTCTGACCAGCTGATACCATAGATAAAAGGAATAGATACTTTGTTTACATGTGATGTATAGAGAGGAGGGGACAATACACAGCTGATCATGAGAACTGTTTGTGAGCTTTTCATTGGATGCATTGTTCTCCTGATGTAGTTATACCAGGGGCATCCTAATAAAGAACAAGTAATGGTATCAACGTTTAGTCATTTTTCTAAATTTATAAAGTGCCAACACCTTGTGTAACGCTGTCCTTCGGTACAAGTAAAGCGACAGATACAATACAAATATTTTATCAGGAGGAGTTGACAGTCCTATAAAAACTTACAATCTAGTTAAGACTTGAACACTAATAATTATATTAAACTGCTGTATAGAGCTCCTAAAACGAATTAATAGTTTGTATTAGCCAATCAAACACACACTGCTTGACGGTCGATCTAAAACTGGATAAGTATGACTTATAGACACTGTGGGAATGAAAAGGCCAACCACAGTCTTGCAATGTGTGTGTATATGTGTGGTAGGCAAAAAGTAATTCCAGGCAAAAAGATTTTGCCTAAGCAAATGGTTTTAAAGGGACACTATAGTCACCCGAACAACTTTAGCTTAATGAAGCAGTTTTGGTGTATAGAACATGCCCCTGCAGCCTCACTGCTCAATCCTCTGCCATTTAGGAGTTAAATCCCTTTGTTTATGAACCCTAGTCACACCTCCCTGCATGTGACTTGCACAGCCTTCCATAAACACTTCCTGTAAAGAGAGCCCTATTTAGGCTTTCTTTATTGCAAGTTCTGTTTAATTAAGATTTTCTTATCCCCTGCTATGTTAATAGCTTGCTAGACCCTGCAAGAGCCTCCTGTATGTGATTAAAGTTCAATTTAGAGATTGAGATACAATTATTTAAGGTAAATTACATCTGTTTGAAAGTGAAACCAGTTTTTTTTCATGCAGGCTCTGTCAATCATAGCCAGGGGAGGCGTGGCTAGAGCTGCATAAACAGAAACAAAGTGATTTAACTCCTAAATGACAGTGAATTGAGCAGTGAAATCGCAGGGGAATGATCTATACTCTAAAACTGCTTTATTTAGCTAAAGTAATTTAGGTGACTATAGTGTTCCTTTAACTTAAAACACCATTTGCATAGGCCAAAGTTTTGCCTAAACTAGTATTCAGGCAAACAATTTTGCATATATCTTACAGTTGTGTGTTTTTTTTTTTTAGATTTGAAAGCCATTTGCCTACAAAACCGCCTGAGAAAATGGGCACTTCTCACCAATAGCCATTCATGCACCCCCAGAAAGTAGCCCCTGCTCAGCAATAAACACCCAGGCATCCTTGGAAATTCCCCTTGAGGAAACCCTCATGTAACGTGTCTACTCCTTGCAAATCAGCAACCAAGAGGAAAAGTAGAACCTGCTAGTTAATCGGCTCTGAAGCACCCTGAGAAATTGGTCCTATTGGTTAATAGGTGCCCAAGTACCCTGGGAAAGTGGCCCCTGCTAGCCAACATGCACCCTGGCAACCCTGAAAAGTGTGGCCTCGTAAGCAACAGGTAACTGGGAAAGTGGCCTTGCTATTCAACGTGCCCAGGGACCCCAATAAAAAGCCCTTGCTTGCTAAAAGGGTCACAGGCACCCCAGGAAAGTTACCCCTGCTCCCCAAAACATGCCCAAGCAGACACCCCAGGGGAGTGGGCCATGCTCATCCAAATATGACAAAGCACCCCTGAGAAAGTGGCCAAAAGGCGCCTGGATATTTCTGGAAATTGGCAACAAGGACTGCTTTTTCAGGTTGCCTAATTTGACTGAGTACTAGGTAGGCAAAAGGTGTTTTAAGGGTCAAATACCTCTTTGTCTAGTAAAAGCTTTTTGCCTAAAATTACTATTTTCCTACCACATAGACAATTGTGGTTCTGCTTAAAATATATGTGTTAATTATACATAGCTAAGCCAAACTTTTCCAATAGAGTCCTTCAGTCTAAACTATTTTTCTGCAGAACTTAATTTTTAATAGTAGTTTTAATTGTCATAGTATTGTATGGCATCTATTCCATGCTTCCCTGCTGTAGCTGTTATGTCCATCACCCCTGATGGAAGGTCATTTAATACATCTATACGTCTATAGCAGGGAGTCAGACTGGCTATTGATTGTACTATTTTAACACCATACCTGTCAATTGCCCTTGATCCAGTGGGATAATGCATATTCAGTACCTATCCTGCCATAGGTACCAAAAGCCAGACCACCAGGAAATTGATTAGGGGTAAAACAGGTATTTAAACCCCCTACACCCCATCAACTCACATGCACCTTGTCACAGCCCCCCCCCACCTTGTCAAAGAACCTCCACCCTCTCACAGCCCCCTACTCTGTCACAGTCCCCCCTACTCTTTCACAGAACCCCCACCCTCTCACAGCCCCCTAATCTGTCACAGATCCCCCTGCTCTGTCACAGCCCCCACACCTTTCACAGACCAGGTTCCCCTCACAGCCACCCCCACCCTTTTACCCCACAAACATCTTGTCACAGCCGCTCCACAAACCACATCACAGCCCCTCCACTGAAACCCCCTACTCACATACTGTCACCCCCACATACAGTTCAACCCCCTACACATACACTATCACCATCCCCAAACACTTTCAGCCCCCACACACTGTCATCCCCTTCACCCAGCCACACTCACATAACCCCTCCTAATTCTGTCATTCTCACTCCCTCTAACCATACCAAATTCACCCGCCCTCGCTTTTCCACACTTACCCACCAGGGGATCGATTAAAGAAAAACAGGCGTTTATAAGACCCTCCACACTCTGTCCCAGACTCCCCCCTGCTTCCCCCCCTCCCGTTTTAAAATGTAAAAAAAAAACACACATTTAAAAACAAATGTATTTAGCATTGAGCAGTGTTTGCATTTAAAAAAAAAAAAAAAAATGTATTTAACACTGAGCAGTGTTTGTATGTTTAAATGTAAGCCTGTTTTTGTATGAAGTATGTGTGAGTGAATGTAGGGGTGTGTTTCCATGTAGTGTTTACACAAAAATGCACGCCTGCATTCAGATGCCGTGTGGTTTTTAAATATGTGGTGTGTTTTTATGTAGTGTTGATTTTTGGATGCAGGGGTGTATTTGTGTGTGGTGTTGGCGAATTGCTGAGATGTATGCACATATACACATATACTCAAATACATAGACACACAGGCACATACAGATACACATAGGTATACAAATGCATAGAAACACAGTCATGCACAGATACACACATATACAGATACAAAGACACACAGGTATAAGTGTGTGTGTTTATTGAATGCAGTGTGTGTGTGTGTGTGTGTGTGTGTGTAGTGAGCAGTGTGTATTGTGTATTGTATATTGTTCGTGTGTGTGTGTGCAGTGGTGTATCCTGGTTTTGTGCTGCCCTAGGCAGGACAAAACTCAGGCACCCCCCTCCCCCTGCACCCCCCACCCAACCCTTCCCCTCTGCCCCACCTTCTAAATACACACACACACACACATACACAGTCAGACACATACACAGTCAGAGACACACACACAGACACACACGCACGCACAGTCAGACACACACGCACACACACTGTCAGACACACACATTAACACTTTTTTTTTTAAAAATTTACCCCCCCGAGCCTCCTTACCTTTGGGAGTGCTGGGGGGGGGGGGGTTCCTCTCTCTCCCTGGTGGTCCAGTGGCTGCCGGTCGGGCTGATGGGCGGGCGGCTAGCGAGGGAGCTCTTCCTCTGAGTGGTCTGCTCAGCTCCCTCGCGCGCCACAGAGTGAGGCTGGGAGCCGGGTTGATGACGTCATATTCCGGCTAGCCGCCTGCCCGACCATTAGCCAGCGCTGCCCAGCATGTCTGTTAGCCGCGAGGCTAACTAGGCATTTGCCCTGGGCATTTAGGGGCGGCGTTTTTTGCTGCCCCCTGAAAAATGCCGCCCAAGGCAAATGCCTTGTTTGCCTCGCGGCTAATACGTCCCTGTGTGTGTAGTGAGCAGTGTGTATTGTTCGTGAGTGTCCCTCCCTGAGGGGGACACACTACATTCCCTGGTGATCCAGTGGCACAGTATTGTTGCCCAGTGAAGAGAGGACCAGGAGTCTCCATGTTTGCTTCACATTCAGCAGCAGCATCTCCTCTGTTCTGTTCTGTTCTCGCGGGTTGCCATGGTAATTCTCCGGCATCCATTGCATGCGGAGCATTGCCATAGCAACGCGCAACGCTCTCGCGGATCACGAGAGCAGAGGACATGCTGCTGAATGTGAAGCAAATGTGGAGACTCCTGGGCCCTCCTTCACTAGGCAACAATACTGTGCCACTGGATCACCAGGGAATGTAGTGTGCCCCCTGGACACTGATAAGAGTCAAGGAGTGGTGGGTTTGGAGACACACAAACAATACACACTGCAAACACTATACACACACACTTTTAGGCGTTTCGGCTAAATGCCTTCTTCAGAAGTCGGTTACATCCGCTGTCCTCCATGTCCTCCATGTCCTCCTATAATATTCCTGCAATAAGAGTAGGAATGTTAAAAGATTTTATGTTGTATTCTGTTTTGGTAGAGAAAGAGGTGAATTTTTTTATCACATGTAACTCTAAAAATTTAATATATATATGTTAACATGTCCTTGTGGATTTCAATATATAGGGAAAACATCCAGACCCCTTAAGATACGCATAAGGGAACATATTCATAATATTAATAGAACATTTTACCAACACAACGTATCCAAACACTTTTTAGAGGTCCCCAAAGGAGATGCCAGTGGACTAGATTTTATGGACAATGAGAACGTTAAAGTACATTGGAGAGGAGGAGATATTAATAGTCTCCTAAGTAAGTCTGAAATGAGGTGGATTTTTAATCTAGATACCCTATTGCCTCAAGGTTTAAATGTTGATTTTGAGATTAACTGGTTTATATGAAATATGTGCTTTTATTAATTGTGCTTCTTAATTTTTCTATTTTTAATTTGGGGTTTTTATTAATTTTTAGGAAAATGAAAGTTGAGCCTGTTATTAATTATTATAACAATTATAAATTGTTCTAGTCTTTTTATTATGTATTAACACTAACAATTTCTATCTTACAACGTTTATTTTGCATCTTCTATTTATTTGTTTTAATGTCCATTTTTTATGCATGGTAAGGATTGTTAATATACAAGAGACATTTATGAGAGACTCCAATAAGATGGCGTTAAGTCGCTGCCCTGTATGGACATTTATTTAGCAAGCTGTTATGCAGATGACACTGGGATGCAGAACAACGTAGGTGTCCTGATGCTATCTGATGAATACAGAAAATAATCCAGGCACTCCAACGAATTCCAAAATATAGGCAATCTTTATTGGAACAAGGAACTAAACAGCAACGTTTCGACCCCTTAGGGCCTTTGTCAAGCTGACGCTATCTGATGACGACAGCGGAACAATGGAAACATCAGAGCACCATCTGATGACAAAAGCGAAAGAAAAATAAAAACCGAGCTATTGGAGGTAGCAGTGAAAGGACGTGAAATTGAAAGGTTTAAAAGGACTATGGAGGACAGCGGAAGTAACCCACTTCTGAAGAAGGCATTTAGTCGAAACACGTAAAGTGGCCAGTGGACTTGTATACTGTATGTGAGGTCTGATTTTATTTATATTTTTGTCCAATAAAGTGTATTTTTCTTCACCTATTTTCCTGGATCTGTATATGGTGTAAGATGGAGGGACAAAGGATAATCTAGACCCACTACCTGCATCCACTGGGTCCTCCATTAAAAGCTTCTAGTCATAGCCAGCTTTAAGTGGCTCAGAATCATGTGAGTTGGACCAGCAACGTACACATATATCTTATTGTTTACTATATTACGCTATGGTTTTCCCTATTATTTTGTATTTTTTATGTAATTCATAATTTGTGGCACTGGCATACATACCGAGGTCAAAGGGGTAGCGGCTGAGTTGGGCAGAGAGCGCTCCGGGGAGAATGCTCCCTCGCGTGCGCCCGCCCTCAATGTGATGCCACTGTCAGCCTTGGGCCGCCCTGTGACCTGGTATGCACGCCAGTGTGGTCACATTTTGCCAGCCTCTTCTCCTGGGGGGCCCAGGAGCTGGCCACCTCCGGGCCCCCCAAGGCTGGCAGTGGCATCACATTGAGGGCGGGCGCACGCGAGGGAGCATTCTCCCCGGAGCGCTCTCTGCCCAACTCCCTCGCGTGCACCGCACTGATACCAGAGCCGGAATATGACGTCATTCCGGCTCCAGCATCAGTAAGCGGCGCGTGAAGGAGCTGAACAGGAGCATCAGTGCTCCCTCGCCGCTTGCAGGACCAGCCGTCGGGCAGCCCCACTGGACCCCTGGGAATCCCCTCAGCACTCCCAAAGGTAGGGAGGCTGGGGGATTACATTTAAAAAAAAAAAATGTGAGTGTGTATGTGTGTGTGTATGTCTGTTAATGAGTGTGTTAGTTTGTGTGTGTCATTGAGTGTGTTACTGTGTGTCTGTTAGTGTGTGTCAGTGAGTGTTACTGTATGTGTCTGCTAGTGAGTGTCAGTGTGTGTTAGTTTGTGTGTCAATGAGTGTATGTGTTACTGTGTGTGTCTGTTACCGAGTGTGTTAGTTTGTGTGTGTCTGTCAGTAAATGTGTGCGTCTGTTCGTGAGAGTGTGTGTAGTTAAAACCCCTTCAGCACTTACCTTTTTCCAGCAGCGGGCTCCCTTGACTCTGGGGATCTCTCCGCCTCTCAGCTCTGAATGCGCATGCGCGGCAAGAGCTGCACGCGCATTCAAACCGTCCATAGGAAAGCATTACTCAATGCTTTTCTGTGGATGTCCAGCGGAATCGTGGAAGCGCCTCTAGCGGCTGTATTAACCCTCCAGTTTTTCTGAAACTGCTATGTTTTCAGCTGCAGGGTTAAAATTAGACGGACCTGGCACCCGGACCACTTCATTGAGCTAAAGTGATCTGAGTGCCTATAGTGGTCCTTTAAGTATATGTGTATCTGCATGCACTGACGTGCACACCGCAGTCGCAGGGGTCGCAGCCCTGCAACCAAGTGCCCACCACCATGGGTAGCAGCCCCGGCCCGTGCAGAGTAAGCACCGTGGGGAAGGGGGGGGGGGCTACGGATCAATATTCGCACCGGGGCCCCATGGATCATGTGTACGCCACTGATTTGTGGTATTTATATATACTGTGTGCGCTCACCTTTTTTTATTCTATTGTATTCACTGTAGTGGTTATAGTGCTTTGGGTGTTTCCAAATAGATTGGAAAGGTGTAAACTTTGGGTAGTTATACTGTCCCCATGGACAGAGAGGGATTATCTTCCTGACAGTTTATTAAACATTCACATGTCTATTAGGTGCAACAGGTATATTTAGGTTTGTGTAATATTTTATAAATCTATATCTAGAAAGAAAAAATGTCTTCTTATTGCATTACTATTGTGTAAAATAAATTAAATTGTATTGTCAGTTTGGTCAAATCCGTCCAACTATTGGTGATAATGACAGGCTGGGGACAATATGGCCATATGGTGGAACTAAATCCCCATATTTATTCTTAGATAGGCGTTAGCCTTCTTAGTTATTAATTTACAAGTCTGAGTGCGCCGTAACTAGTTTTTCTGTATGAATTTTGGCCACTGCGGCAGCACCTTTCATGTATACGGGTGTGCCCCCAATCTCTCCTTTGTGCAATTATATTTGGAATCCAGACCAGATTCCTTTGGGGTTAAGCACCCCACCCAGGCCCCCCAGCTTCAGAGACCTCTTTAGAGGTGGCCACAGTTGTGTATAAATAGGAGGAGTTTTATAGTCATGTCACTTTTATTATTTTCTTTATGCAGCACAGATATTATCTGCAAATGTCAGTATACTCATTCAAGCACCAACACTTTAATTGTTTAGTTGTTACACTGTTTTTAATTGCTTTTATCACTATTGTATACTCACTTTGCTCTTACAAAGAAATGAATTCAATACACTGTAGCTTATGTTTAGCACTAGTACTATTTAATTTATCTCCCACATTTTTGTTATTAGCGTAGGACCCACTGATATTGGGGTACTTTGAAGTAGTAGTGGGCTTAACATCATATGGCCATATGGTGGAACTAAATCCCCATATTTATTCTTAGATAGGCGTTAGCCTTCTTAGTTATTAATTTACAAGTCTGAGTGCGCCGTAACTAGTTTTTCAGGCTGGGGACAATAAGCTAACCCACCCTCAGCGTTCTCAGCCTGTCCACCTTTGGATGGCAATGACAGGCTAATATTTTACATATATCCCAACTGTGAGGTATGAAAGAAAGTAAGGGACTGGGTGGGTGTATAGTTTTATTAAAATCCACTTTTTGTATTGCAATTTAAAGCAAAAATGGGGAAAAAAAAAAGTTTCACACTTGTTCTTTCACAAGTAATATTTTATTCATACTTGCAGATATATAAATAAATATAGTAATCTGTGATTTCTAAATAAATATCTATGGGTGTACTTAATTTAGCAATAAATAAATATACTTTCAGAGTTGTTCACTAAACTCCAAATTGTAGCAAATTGAGATCCAAATAGAAAAATTTAGACTAAAATTTTCTTTTGTGTTTTTGTTTTTTTGTTTTTTTTAAGCCACCATTTTGTCTTTCTGCATTTAATTTACTACAATTTGGTGTTCAGTGAATAGCCCTGCTAATAAAAGTCTGAAGATTAAAAGGTTCTCTCCCAAGAATCGTGACAATTTCCTGTCTTGGTATCTTCCGCATCCAGCTTCTCCTTTAACCATGAGGCCACCTCAACCAGTACCTGGAACCTTCTCATTCTGTCCTCACAATTAATCGGATTTATTTCATCTGCAGAAGGCTGGCTTTGAACTTCAGGATGCTGGCTTGGAACTTCAGGAGGGCTCCTAACCTGCATGGACACCGTAGCAACCATGCTGGTGAAAGGAAGGGTGGGTGCAGGCATGACATTTTTCTTTCCCCCTTTGAATCTGGGTGGGGGGAGACCTTTTTCCTGTCGTATCTTCAGCAAAGACCTACGCCTGGCGTTTATGAACCAGTCATCTATCTGCAAACAGAGAGGATAAAGGGGTCTATCATTGTGAATGAATATAAATTAAAAAAAATAATAATATATATATATATCTCCAAACTTTCATTATCTAACGTAAGATACTTCAAAACCCTCCACATATCCAGTCATTCTTTTATAACATTATACAAACATTATTGTGCTATCTTATTTTTAATGTTATGTTTATTTTTTCAAATATACATTACAGTAGCAATTACAGATATCTTCACAATGGCAGTTGGTACATACATTGTTATTTAGACCTTAACAATCATGAGTATTTTCTGTACAGTAACAATCAAGGATGTTTGATTCATACATTCAAAAATACATAAAGAAATACATCTACCCTGTTTGTGTTTCTCATGTCGTCAGTTGACTACAATAGTGTGTCCCTTTTTCTTTTTTAATTTTTATAAATTCTGAACATTGTGCATCTGCTTTTAGTTTTGCTGAATGGAAATTATCCTCTAGAGCAGTTCATTTGCAAGCAGGGCTGAATAATATTGTTATTATAGGAGAATCTCATATGTTAACCCCTCTCTGCCAAGTCCTCCTCTAATTGTTTTTCTTAGACATTTTCTATATACATGTAGAACTTTGATTCTTGATACTGTAGTTGTTGTGGACCACATTTCCCATGATGCATAGCAAAGATAGCTAAGTATTATGGGAAACAGATGGCAACAACTGCAGTGCCAAAATACAGCCATGACCGGACCAGCTTATGTTTCACAGCATATATGATTTATAAAGACCAGTTCTGAAAGTATCAGTGAGAGATTTAATAGTAGACAAATCACAATGGAACACTAACTTTACTATTCCTATAGAAGGTTCAGGCTGTCTAACGGCATCCCAGGTATAGAATGGGATCAGGTTACATACCTGTTGACGGGTTAAGCTAGTTTCCTCCATCATCTTGGCTTTTTCCAGATCATTCGGGTACGGGTTTGAGCAATTTCTGTACAGCCAGTTAGATAGTATAAGGACTGCTTTTTTTGGTAATTTTTTCGCTTTCTTTGCAGACCTTGATCCTGCAGAATGGGGAGAGAGAATGGTTAGATTTGGAACATAAATATAGTGACTTCTCCCCAGTGTCCTACTAGGACCCAGGTCCCTCTGTCATATTCACCTTCTGTGCTCTCATTAAAAAAAATTCAGTTTCACAGCACTGAACAGTGTATGTCACAGAGCTCCAAAGATATAAAACTCACAATAGTGTGGTACATTCACTTAGATGTTCTCCCAGCTCTACAATTTTGGATTAAACCTTGCATTTCCTTTGTAAATTCCCTCAATCATTACAGTTGGTATCTTACCTTGTGCAGAAACGTTGGGTTCCATAATTTTGTAGTATTGGTGAGCAGGGAGCCAAAACTTGAATACCTGTGGCAGGTGAGGGAATGTGACAGTCTGACTAGTGGAGATACTTTGATGTATTAATTCCCTTTAGATTTGGGAGGGTGGGGTAAAATGTGAAGCAAAGACCATGATTGGTTAATGAATCTGGTTGCTTGGTGAAGCGGTCTTACATCTGTCTTTTAGTGAAAATTAGCATTTCACTGAGATGTCCTTAAATGGATTAAAAATATGTAAACTGCATTATTTGAAATAAAACTGGACTGTTTAGCTGTGTCTCCATGCACAGAGGGGGGTTATCTTCCTGTCCTAGGCCTCTAACTAAAGATTGACATGTCTGCTAGGTGCAAATATATTTCTAGATTTAATTTGCAACAGGTATATATGTATGTTATAAAATTCATGATTTATTTTTAAGATATTGGTTTGTTAATATCACATGGCTATTGTATAAAATACAAACTATATTGCCTGTAGATCCGCTCACACCCATCACAACAGCCAGGCAGAGCTTTCTATGGATATAGTGTGTGTGCGGCCAAGAAGGAGGCATGCTGGTCAATGTGATTTTGTCCGATACACATTTTGCCAGTCATGCTGCCATCTATACCCATGGGCCGAGCACTGTGAGTTCACTCTGACATTGAGGTTAATCTGTATAGTAAGTAATGGGCAAGCTGGACAGGGCATACGGCATGAGTTAAACTGTAACAATCTACAATCATGTGCCACAGTCAGTTATAGACCTTGCTACATTGAAATCTTTGTTTTATGTATTTTTATTTTTGCTTGTGGTGAGTGGTGAGGTTTACCAGGAAACCACTTTTAGGTTTCTGATATGCAAGTACACCCAGGTATGCTCATAATATGCATCAAATAGATAAGTGAGGTAGAGGCATTAATGTATTGATGGTGTAGATATGTATAAGTGTATGGAATTTTACCAGGATTAGTCACTAAACTCTGTTTTGGTGTGTTTTTCTGTGAATTATAGATCTCATTTTCACACTATGTGTACAGCAGAGTTAATATACTTTTGGTTCTTGTTTTTTCCAATCAGGTTTTAACGTGCAATTTAAAATCATTAAAATACACAATTTGATGAATAACCCTGGGAGTGCACAGGCCTTTATTTTTAGATATTGTCTATACATTTCCTGACGTGACTGGTCTCTCGGCCAGGACATGTTTTGTGCCACTGCCAAATACATGATGGAAGGTATTCTAAACGCCATATTTCATCTTTTAATCTGGACACTCAAAGCAGAACACAGGGATACATTATAATCCTAGTAACCCTGTAAAATGCAAGGGCCACCATAGACACAGAGCTTGTAAACCATTCTATTACTAGCTGTTTCATAGACTTGTTGAAGTACATTCCTGGAAACACATTTACATTTTGTTAGTACTCTGTTGGACATCTAACCATATGGGGCTTGTTTGTGCAATCTCAATGCCATTGACATTACAATTGTAGGTCTTGTGAGTTACAGTGTGTATTGTGTATATTGATTAGATAGTGCTAGTTGACTCCTTGTATTGTCCTGTAAATCCATTCTGGGAACATACAATGAATATTAAATGTTCTAACTAGACTCACAGTGCTACTGGGTGCGTACTGCCCTTTATTAGTAAATACCTTTATCACATATATCTACCCCCTGCCAGGATTTAAATTAGAGGGATTATGGTGGAAAGATTGAAATTTAACCCTTTCTCATCCATCCCATGTCTCTGTCCGGGTGTTATTTCCTGGAATTTAAAAAATAATAATTTACCCAGGTTTGTACAATATTCTTGTAGCCCCATGTAGCCAAGCGCAGCTAAGCGGAAAAAGGCCTTGACAGGGGTTAGGAGGCGGGCCTAGGAGGAAGTAAGCAAGGGAGTGGAGTTATGGGTAAGTGGGTTTGGTTATTTAAATGGGCAGCCATTTTAGTTAATTCATTTTAACTTCCTACCTGGTTAAGTTTGTGTTCGCTCCTGTGGGCACAGATTTGGCTTGGTAGGGTTTTTTCCTTTTGTCTCCCTGCAGGGCCGATGGAGGAAGTGGAGCGACTGCTGGAGCGGATCCGGTCGGCGGCGAGGCACCAGGGGGCTGACTGGCTGAAGGCCCAGTTAGGCCCGGCCCTGGCGGCGGCGGAGGGCCAGGACGGCGGCGGACGACGGCCTGTTCGGGCCAGGAGGCCTCCGGAGCGGCTAAGCCCGGGTGTGGGACCCGGTGAAGACATCCCTGGTGGTCCGGGAGGCTCCGGTGCGGGCGGCAGCAGGCCCGGCAGCCGCGTGGTAGAGGCCCCGCCTCCCCGCGAGCGGCCGGAGCCTAGGACCAGTGCCCGGCGCCGGGGGGACGGTCGGGACGGGGCCGTCGCGGCTGCCGGGTCGGACGTGGCCGGGCGGTCCCCTGGAGGAGCGGGCAGCATGGAGCTGCGGCCCGGGAGGGCGCACGCCCCGTCGGAGGCGGAGATCGGCGGGGCCGGGACCGGGAGGACACGTGGCCGGTTCCCGGCCCCAAAGGCAAGTGCAGGGGGCTCCGGCCGGGGCCCCTTGGCGGGAAAAGTGCTGGGGGGGTCCTGTCAGGGGGCGGAGGGCGGAGGGCCCAAGTGGGGGGTGGGAAGGCCTCCCAGGGACCGCGGGTGGTGGATGGGGAGGGCATAGGGGTCATAGGTGGGGGGAGTAGTGGTAGGGGTGGGGGGGTTGTGGGTGAGGAGGGACTGCTGGGCTCCCCCAGTAGGGGAAAGGGGGCCTCCTTGGGCTCTGGGGCTAGGCCGGTGCGGGTAGGGTCGGGTAGGCCTGGTTTAGGGGTTGGGGGGGCCAGTCTGGTTGAGGGGGGTCTAGGTCCCCTTAGTCTGGGAGCCAGTTCAGGTGGGGGGTCGGGCTCTAGCCGGAGGGGTGAGCGTTTGGGGGTGCAGGGTAGTAGGGGGGGGGGGTCCGGTTCAGGGTCCTGTAGTGGTAGTTCCTCTCCGGTTCGGGAAGTAGAGCCACGGGGGAAGAGGGGGAGGAGGGGGAGGTCCCGGCAGCGCCGCTCTAGGTCAGGGAGCTCGGGAGAGAGCGGGTCTAGCGTCCCCAGGGGTGGTCGGCGGGGACGGATGCCCGGGGAAGACAGGAGGAGCCGTAGCCCTAGGGGCTCCCGCGCGCGGCGCGTGCAGGGGGCACAGCGGGAGGCTTTGGCAAGGGGCAGGCGCTCCCAGGGTCGAGACGGGGGGGATGCGAATACTCAGTGCACCCTACCCAGGACTTCTTCTCCTCTTTCCAGGTCACGGAGCTGTTCCATATCGACACGGGCAAGGCACCGGTTTGGCTCCCCGGTTGGCGAGGTATCGGCGGGAGTCGCTCTCCCTGGACATCGGGCAGTCGACGACGCAGCCCCTGCCGCGTCAGTTGCAGGGGGCTTGGCCGGTGAGTCTTGTGGGTCACTACACTCCAGTTCCTTGGTTAGCACACTGCAAGCACTGCTCCACTCGCTGGGGGCGGGGGGTGACACGGGGGGTGGCGTTGGTCGGGTTTGGGCCCCGGGGACGGAGGTCCCTGGTCCTAGTGGGGTTTCCGTGGGGCTTAGTTCGGGCGGGGACGTGGGGGTGGCGCCCGAGGCGATGGCGGCCGGGGGTGACAAGGCGGAACTGGCCGGGGGTATTCCGGATGCAGCCAGGCAGCACGCATACGTCTCGTTTGCGGGCCCCCTGGGGGTTCATCTGAAACAGGACGTGAAAGAGAAGCTCTGGAAAGGTGAGTTCTGCGAGATCTTCTCCCTGCTCCCCTTGGAGGACTTTATTGACCTCAAGGAGGAGGATAAAAAGGATGAAAAGAAGGAGGAGGAGGAGAAGAGGAAGCGGTATCGCAAGATTCCGAAATCCTTTGGCAACTGGTTACGGGCGTTTTGCGTGCTAGCCAGCGTGCTGGGGGAAAAATCGCCGGGATTATGCTCGTCCCTGTTCTGCTACCTGGACGGCATTTGGGAAGCATATCGCACCTATGGGGGGCTGGCATGGTGGCGCTACGATGAACAGTTCAGGCAGCGACTGGCGGCTAACCCGGGGATGAGGTGGGATCAGATGGATCTGCCCCTCTGGATGAAGCTAATGATGGCCCAGAAGGCGCAGCCCTTTCCAAACTCGGCCGGCGCGAAGGGGCAGTCCGCCTCGTCGGCCGCTTTGCAAAAGGGCTTCTGCTGGCTCTACAATGAGGGCCAGTGCAAATGGGGAAACGCGTGTCGATTTAAGCATGAGTGCTCCGGTTGCGGGGGTGCTCATGGGCTCAATCGCTGTTTCAAAAAAGGGAAGGCGGGAACAGCCGGAGCGGCTGCCGGGGCCGGAGGGAATGCTTCCCCTGCCCCGGGGCTTCACGCCGGTGAGGCTAGACGCGATGGAGCCGTGGCTAAGCCGCTACGGTAACAGGACTGATGCCTCGGTACTTAGGGAAGGCTTCGGGCGGGGTTTCTTTATTCCCTTCCGGGAGCGGGGGGGTTCGGGGGGGTTGCGCAACCTGAAGTCGGTGGCGGATTTCCCGGAGGTGGTACGGGAGAAACTAGACAAGGAGGTTGCGCTGGGGCGGATGGCGGGCCCGTTTGCGGTGCCCCCATTGGAGGACCTACGGGTTTCCCCTCTTGGGGTGGTGCCAAAGAAGGAGCCGGGGAAATTCCGGCTCATTCACCACCTCTCCTACCCAAAAGGGGAGTCGG